AACAACTGTAACAATATACTTATTGACCATCATAATATCATTCCAAACATACAACTAAAAACATATCCTTATGTATGTTAATTATATACAATAGAGCTCATTATTTAAAAGTATATGCCCAATTCTATGCTCAAATCAACTGAAGTATAATGGGCATTTTCCAAAAAATTATAAACTATAGATGAAATGTTGAAAAAAGTTTGGATTTCTCTCATAAGGGGGTAAAGGCAAGAAAATTAATACCTTGTAAAAATTCGTAGATATCATATGTTGAATTATTTCTTTAAGGGTAAAGTATATCTAATATAATATATATTTAATTTGGAGTATTATTAAAGTAGGAGAAGACAGTAGTATATTAATGTCAGCTTTGTGGCAGCTTTCTGTGGCATTTTTCAATTGACATACTCATGTTTACCACAATTTTTATATCCATTACAACTAGCTGAAGAAAGTTTTTACTTGATCAAAAACTATTTGTTATTTAATTTAGACCCCTTAAATTGTAAAATGCTCATAGGGGTTCTGAGATTACCATTTTCATCATCACATGACAAAAGGAGTGAGAGATTCTATGTGGCATATCAGAGAATAAATAAAGGTTTAAGGTTAATACTCTGTAACTAATATTAATATACATGTATTTAACAGTGATATTGCATATGATAACAGCATTGATATTAGGTACTAGAATTCCATAATTAAAAGATTCCTCACTCAATATTTGTTCTTGTTGCTATTTTGCCATTGTTTTTAAAAGGTTGTTTTGTTCAAGATTAGAATTTTTAAGTTTTCTTGTTGTTATTGTAAATAATGTTTTGTAAGTAGATTTTTTATTAATTTTATATTTTTTGTGATTTTTGTTGAAATTGAATTGAGATAGTTTTAAATTTGTGATATTCTTCTAAATTTTTTCAGGATATCAGGATATTCTACATGCCAATCAAGAGCAGTCTTGTTTTCAGAGTTGAATTATTGCTAAATACTTTGTATTCTCTTGCATTTACACTATTTCAGTTACTCTGAATAGCTAGATCAGCATCAATATCTCTTTGAAAGTTACTATTTAGAGATTTATGTGAATGGTATTCTTGGAAAATGAGTAGTATAATATCAAGGCAAATGACAGGAATTTAAAAGAGGCAATAAGTGATATGGTGGCTTATTTAGGAAATTATTAGGGAATCAAATATGTTGGCTGTTGATTATGCATACATAGATTTCATATTAAATTATTAAATCAATTTGTCTTAAATAACCAACCATACATCCTATTAGTGGGTCACAGATTTATAAAGAATAATTTGGAACAAAATAAGATGAACAGCTTCTTTGGATATTCCTTGCCACAAAGTAATAGAGGGTGATTTAAATACAGGGTGTTATGGGTTAATCTGTATATTAATGTTACTAAGAAGACATATATAAATATATCATAATAACTTATTTTTAGTAGTCATAATATAAAAATAATAATATTTAGATAAAGCTTATCTTTCTATAACATACTAGATAAGACATTACTTAAGGTATAAAATTATTTGTTTGTCATTTCAATCTATTTATCCAACTTTTGTCCAAGATCTATCAGACAACTTGTAAAAATGTAAATTCAATGTTAAGATTGCTTTGTCTCAATATAATACTTATATAAACTGATATAGATTCAATGTACATGGACCTTGTTAACAATGATTTACTCAGTGTCCAGGTGAATTTCCATAGTTAAGTTTTTTGTTTTTTTATTTGATTCAAAGAAAATCTTTATAATTTATTTCAAATTGAAGGTTTTTAGGCTTGTTTTGTCATAGATCGACTATCCTCAGCATTGAAATTTGCTAATATGGATTTTCCTTTTGCATAAAACCTGAAGCTTTTGCCTTGCCTGAAGTGCTTGTAAAATTCAATGTTGTAAGGTTGAATGAATGAAATGATGTAAATTTAGTCAAGACTATGTGAAATACTGGACAAACATTAATTGGTATATTATATGATGTAA